AAGATGTTTGCCATTAAGTATTTAAAAGACTATTTTAATATTTCTCACTACTTTATACATGAGAAATTGTTAAGCCTATTAATAACATGTATTACTATGTCTATTGGGTGAGAAAATATTTATTATTTAATATTAAATTTTTCAATTTTGAATTTTGAACTCTATGGGTGGAAAAAATGTTTAGCGTTTAATGTTTGTGCAGTGAGATATATATATATATATATATATATATATATATATAATTACTTTTTTTTAAACATATATAATTAATTTAAATTTAATTTAAAATTAGAAATTAAACAAAAAGATATTTAAAAATATATGAATAGTTGATTAAAAATAATTAAAATTTGAAATATAAATAAAAAAAGAAATGGAATTTTTATAATTTAAAAGAAACTAAATTAAAAATTCAATTTAAAAAAAAAAGTACAAAAAAGATTCCGTACAAGTATTTTTTTTTAAATTTTTTTTTTTTTTTGATAACATTTTTTTTTTTAAAAAAATTTAACATAAACATTTTAAATATATATGAATAAACAATTCAAAAAATATAAAAATATAAATTAAAAGATAAAAAATTATTTTTTCAAAAAATATGTACAATTAATACAAAAGAAATTAAATAAGAAAAATGATATCTATCGTTCTGCAAAGAACAAATTATAAAAACTTAATTATTATAAAAATAAATGATCATTCAGTGATCAGTAACCACTAGGGGTGAAAGTGGGCTGGGCTGGGCCGAGCTTTGCCCCGTAAAGCCCAAGCCTATGTCAAAAAATTTCAATTTGGCCCGGCCTGATAGCATAGTATGAGTCTAACTGTTAGCATGTCTTGGCCCATTTATAAAAAAAAAAATGGCCCGGCCCGGCCCGTTGGCCTATTAATTTTTAACTTCCAAGCAAATCATGAATCAACTCCACAAAATACTCAAATTCTATTGTTAAAACAAAAATCACAATTTTAACGTACAAACAAAACCATGAATCACAACAATAACTCATCACAATCTGCATTTAAGTCACTGTCAAAAGCAAAATACTCAAACTAAATAACATATATTTCATCAGATCTAACATGTCAATCCATACTATGTAAATTAAAATAACTACATGAATACAACAAGCATATCATGATGACTACAAGAGCAACCAAAAACTTATCTTCATCTTCTCTCCCCTAAAAATACAATTCCAAGGTTACATAAGTTGGCAAATAATTTGTAAATGTAGAAAAAAAACAAGAATAAAGAATAGAAACAAAAAAATCAAGATTAAGAAACAAAAAAACCTTTTAACATAGATATGTCATTATACAGCCCATTTTCATTTACTCAATTTTGTGCTATATATAAATTGACACAAATAGTAGAATGCTTTAGTCTTTTGTGTTATATATATACAACCCATCAGGTCATTTCTTTATCATAATTTTCTGGCGAGCTCGAAGCCTCATTTGACACCGAATCCAACACAATCTGGTTAGAGGTTGAGGGAAGTCCCTCTACAGCAATCGAAGCTTAAGCATAACAAATTAAGCTTGCTTTAATGTGAGACAACATGAAAAAATTTGATTTGAACAGATATGACAGAGGCTTATGCATAAAATTAGGATCCCTATGAGTTTCTCTATATTCATTAAAGGAATATTTAGATAATGTAAGGCTTCTTTTCTTACAAGAAAAAACAAGGAGAGTCTAACCCCCTATCTTTCTGCAATGCAAATTGAAACCAAAATCAAATGAGGTTCATGATGAATTCGATTATATCCAAAAGGTTCGATGCTCGTCAAAATAACAAACATATTGATATCTTTTTACCTATTTGTAATTGAGACAAACACAATTCAGTTTAGGTCTGCTTTCAAAAAAAAGAAAATCACTTAAATTAGGGGGAAGCAATGGCGAGTAAAACAAAGATCAGTTTCGAAAATCAAAATAAAGATAAAAATAAAAAATGACACTAGTAATAATAAGGCAGTAAATAAACCCGTTCAATTTAATTTATACATCGAAATATGAAACAAAATAGGAACTGAGAGAAATGAAAATACATGTTTAGTGTAAGAGAAAGAAGCAACTATAGTATAAATCCAAAACGAGAGGAATTTCTTGGTTCAGCGCCAGCGAAGAGGGAAATCGGTGGTGCGGAAATGGCAACTCGAGTCGTTAAGTTGTCGGGGAGAGAGAGAGAGAGAGAGAGAGAGGGGAAATGGGTAGAGGAAGAAGAGTAAGTGTAAAGAACACAAATTCTGAAGAGACGCGAGGAGAAGAAAAAAAAAAAAAGAATCGCGAAACAAAACTTGGAAATGGAGCCGTTTAAATTGTATGTTTGTTGTTACGGATTTGTATTCCTATTATCGCTATACTCTGGTTATATGAGTTAATATGAACCATAATGCTATGAGAGAAGGGGGGAGAACGCACCTGGAGGCTGGAGAAGAGTCCCTCTTTCAGTTTTCTGAAGTCTTCACTCTTCCTTCGGTCTTCCCGTAGGCTGTGCTAAAAAATTATGACAGTGAACAATTGGGTCAGCGTCGAGGGTCATGGGCCAGGCTTAATACATAAGCCTCCGATCCAATTATGTAATCAAACATTTACACCAGCCCAAGCCCAACCTGCCAAATAAAAAGGCCGAGCCAGGCCAGGCCACTATTGGGCCGGGCTGTAGGCCCATGTGGGCCGGCCCGGCCCAGTTTCACCCCTAGTAACCACCTAACTCCTAAATCCTAAAAAACTGTTTGTCGTTAAGTATTTTATGGACTATTTTAATGTTTTCCACTACTTTTTGCATGAAACATTGTTAAGCCTATTAATAATATTTATTATTATATCTATTGGGAGAGAAAAATTTTATTATTTAAAATTTCAACTTTTAAATTTGAATTTTGAACTTGATGGCTTGGAAAAGAGTTCAGCATGTAATGATAGAAAAAAGATATATATAATAAATTTAAGTTTATTATAAAATTATAGATTAAACGAAAAATGTATTTTTAAAATTATAAAAATATATGTATAGTTGATAAAAAGTAATTTATATTTTAAATTTAAATGCAAAAAAAATAAGAAATGACATATTTATACTTTAAAAAAAAATAAAATAAAAATTTAACTTAAAAAATAATAAAGAGAAAAATGTTCCATTCAAGTATTTTTTAAATTTTTTATAACATAAACGTTTTAAATTTATTTTTATAACACTATAAAAGTATAAAAATTATAAATAAGTATAATCAAAGAATTGAATATTTATATATATATATATATATATATATATATATATATATATATATATTAAAAACAAAAGTAAAATTACGCTTATAATTATATTTAATTTTTTTAAATTATATGTGACTTTAAAATATAAATGAGGCTGTAGTTATTATTTTTAATGGTTATTTTTTTTCTGTAGTGACCGCAGATAACTTATCTGTATTAAGTTCAAAATGACGTCGTTTTGAGGCGAAAATCAATGTGTTTTTATAAATTGGTTTAAAATGTTAATAGTTAGAGGTGACAAATTAGCTAAGTGTAAAGGTGGCAAATTGGTCTCAGCCAACTCTGCCTGCCAACATATTTTTTTTCTTATATTTACTATTTAGCAAACTCGTCTTTGTTTGACTAAGTGTTTGTTATATTAAACGTAATAACTCAAATATTTGTCAACTTTTCATCTAATATATATTTAACAAATACACACACTTCAGAAAGTCGATTTAGAGACAACTATAGAAAACATAGAAATATAGTGATATAGAAGCAACTAAAAGAACCTTTTTTGTTGATAAATATAAATGATAGTTAAAATGACAAAATGGCCTTGGCCCGGAGGGCTGGCCCACTCCACCCGCCGACACGTTTTTCTTATTCTTATATTTAGTGTCTAACAAATTTGTCTTTGTAAGATCGTTGAATTTACTACTATAAATATTTCAGAAACAAGCATTTAATCAAAAGGAATAATTATATAATGATAAATGAAAGTTCATCTCTGAGAAATACTAAAAGAAGCTGAGTCAAACTACGTAATTTTTTAATGACTATAGGACAAACTAATAAAATGGCATTTGCATTTTATATCAAATGATCAAACAAGATTTCTTTACAAAGTTTGATGGACCGTAAGTAATCACTAAGCCCACACGTATAAAACTTTATATATGGAGTAGAGTTTCGTTTGAACTAACAAAAAAAATTAATTCTTATTGATTACTCAATTAATACTTATGCAATTAAGCTAATAAATGGTCTTTTGAATTACCATATTCAACTTCAACGGTGGAGTGTGTGCTATAATATTAAACGTATTAACTCAAATATTTGTCAACTTTATATGTATAAAAAGTTGGAGTTAGGTACCATAGTATTGATTTAAATAAAATGCCAAGATATACTTTTACGATTTGCGTTAACTTTTACGAGACAGACAAACAGATTTCTTTTTTTGATAATATTCTTGAGAAATTCACTTTCCCAACATATTCCTAGGCATAAAAAAATTTCTCCTCCACCAATTTATTTCTCGAATTCGAACTCATGAATTGAGGAGGGAGCACCAACGAAAAAAAAAAAAAATTACCTGAAAAATCCAGATTTCACGGTTGAATATATACTCTTAAAAAAAAAAAAAAAATCAACTGAAGCAAATATATTCCATCCCACTTGATTGCTTTTGCTTCAGTCGAATTGCAGCTCAAATTTTTAGAACTCATGGCATGTACCAAAATGTAGAATGATAATTCCTAAAGCCTCAACAATAATGCTACAACAGCCATGTGATGGGACTATTAGCAATGGCTGAGCTGCCTGAGCACCCATACCGCAATAAGATACTAGGAAAACAGTTCATTAAACAAACTCAAAAGAAAAAGGTAAATATTTTTGTCCATAAAATTTACATGTCACTGTGCACAATCTTTAATTATCATAAATGTCTATCATAATCATCAAAAGTCTATCACATATGTATATATTTGTCCAAACAGTACTTGTACTTCTAAAAATACTCAAAATCTTCATAAGAAGAATCAGGTTGTGCATTGTTGTTTTTATCACTTGCAATCTCTGGCATCTTCTTATCTGCTGGTGCCTCAGTTTCTCTGCTAGCATACTGGGAAAAATCCAGAGGTTCAGGTATAATAGGAGGTGTAGAACTTCTAATTAGAGCCCAATTCACTCCTTCAAAAAAGGGGTGTTGTTTTATTTCAGTAGCACCTCTCCTATGAGCAAATCTTTTATGAGGTTCTTTCACCAACAACCCTTTAATAAGATCTCTAGCCACAGGACTAACATGTGGAGTTTCAGGGAACCTTAATGGTTGTCCTACGACATTAAACAATGTAGCACGATTTCCTGCACCCTTAAAGGGTGTTGTCCCATGCAAAAGCTCATATAAGAATATTCCAAATGTCCACCAATCCACTGCACTACCATGTCCCTCACCACGTATAATCTCTGGTGCAAGATATTCATGTGTCCCTACAAATGACATTGAACGCACATTTGTAGGCTCTGCCATTAGTTCAGGTAGACGACCTCCAACCATAAGGCCAAAATCTGATTTTGATTTTCGGTTCTTTTTTGAAGGCAAAATGCGAGGGAAGAAACTTGATGGCTGCATGCAACCAGGGACTGCATGTTCATCATCCAATATTCCCACAGAACCATTGCTACTTACATGTGCTGATGAAGATTTCACAAGTGTTGGACTCACAGAACAGCGAAGCGATAAATCAAAATCTGATAGCATGATGTGGCCTTCATCTCTGACTAAAACATTCTCTGGCTTTAAGTCTCTGTACACTATGCCTAGCATGTGGAGATACTCAAGAGCTAACAAAATCTCTGCACAATAAAACCTGTCACAAGAAATTAGGACATTGAATTGTTAAATTGGCTTTGACTTTTGAAAACTGAAATCATAAAGGTGATGTTAATGGTTCACTGAAATCATGACAGTAGAAAATCAAATATTTACTCAATTTTGTCGCTGAAGAGGTTAAATATATTTTCTTCTACGAAGATAAATAAAGGTTATCAAGTTCAATCCAGTCACACAAACGTGAGGACAAATATGCTTAATCAATATGTATCTTAATTCTATGTGCATTACCCAGAAAAGTAATGAATAAAAGTTAGTGACACATAGTGCTCATACATTTTTCTATTGTTACTATGATGTAGAAATAATGGAAATGAAGTCAATAAACTCTTGGTCTGATGGAGGAATTTGTAAAGATTCGTATTATTATAAAAACAAAACTTTATGCAGATTTCTTTTCACAGGAAGTTAAATTTTTCAGTAATTTCATTCAAGAAAAAGAACAGCAGAATAACAAAGCAACCATATAACTCCACAACACAAAATGAAAAGAGGAAAATTAGAGTGCAAAATGTAACAGCCCCAAACCCTGTAGCATGATATTGTCCGCTTTACCCCCCGCGCACAAGCATCGTCGAGCTCACGGTTTTGTTTCTTGGGACACCCCACAAAAGGCCTCACACTAGAAGAGGTATCCACACCCTTATAAGGCATGCTTCGTTCCCCTCTCCAACCGAACGGTTTTGTTTCTTGGGACACCCCACAAAAGGCCTCACACTAGAAGAGGTATCCACACCCTTATAAGGCATGCTTCGTTCCCCTCTCCAACCGATGTGGGACATTACATCCTCCCCCGCTGTACACACCGGTCCAGGGCCAGGCTCTGATACCAAATGTAACAGCCCCAAACCCTGTAGCATGATATTGTCCGCTTTGCCCCACGCACAAGCACCGTCGAGCTCACGGTTTTGTTTCTTGGGACACCCCACAAAAGGCCTCACACTAGAAGAGGTATCCACACCCTTATAAGGCATGCTTCGTTCCCCTCTCCAACCGATGTGGGACATTACACAAAATAAGAAGAAAGAAATCACAATTGCTTATGAATTTGTTATCAGAAGTATGTAGAAACACAGATTAATAGTAAAGGATAAATGTGAGAAACAATTAGAGTAAACTGAACTTCCTTCGCTGAAATTGTCAGACATCTAATTTCATATTAAGGGAATAATAAAACTACTACATTTAATGATTTATTTCTATGTCCCACACTGTACTGATTATACTATCAATTGATGGTATAGGTAGCCATTGATTAAGTCCAGTAAAGCAGAGAAATTTCTATTGAACACAGTAAAATGCAATCTTGTCTTATAACTATTGTAACAAAAGTGCCACCCTATACATATACCACTCTGGTGGAATCCAATGTATGAGTGTGTGTTTAAGTACTCACTATACAGAAATCAACAAGTAAGTCACAAACCTTGCAGCTTCTTCAGTGAAATGCTTGTTAGGTTGCTTCAACCGGAGGGAATGCAGACTACCACTACTACAGAACTCCATGACCAAACAGTAATACTTATCAGTTTCAAAGTAAGAGTATAAAGTTGGCAAAAAAGGGTGGTCAAGAAGTCCAAGAATCTCCCTTTCTGTTTGTGCTCTGAGAAGCTTGTTTCTACTTGCAAGGGATGCCTTATCCATTACTTTCATTGCAAAGAAGGCCTTAGTCCCTTTAAGTTCCACAAGATACACACTTCCAATATCTCCATAACCAACACGCTTCAGAAGCCTGAAATGACTAAGATTAAGACTAGTACCCTTTGAAACCATGTTAATTGCATCCCACCTTGAATGACCTCCAGTATGTGGCTTAATGGGTGCACTAGTACTCTCTAAACTGTCACTGCGGGAACTTGTGCCACTCCCTTGTCCTTGATTGGTGCTCTTTGTAGTAGGTATAGGAAATCCCCTTGAAGCAGTTCCTGATGTTGAGGTAGTTGAAGGATCAGAATTTGAAGGCATTCTTGCACCTGGACTTGGACGTTGAGTAGTTGAAGAATCAGAATTTGAAGGCATTCTTGCACCTGGACTTGGGCGTTGAGTAGTTGAAAAATCAGAAATGTTCCTCATTGGTGGTTCTAATTTCTGAGGTTTTGATGCTGGTTTAGTTGTCATCTTTGCAACATTTTGAGTAACCTGTTCTATGTGACTTTCTGAAACATTATTTGCCGAATTTGCATAACTATGATCTGTCTTCAGAGCTTCTTGTGACCGACTGTGATTCATCTACATTTAAGTATAAAACAAAAGTTTGATCAATTCTCTCAATCATAAATAATTTTCCAGTTACAAAAGTATTACATCAATATCAATATCAACGTCAACATCAACAATACCTTTATTCCAAACTAGTTGGGATATCAGTGCAGTTACAAAAGTAATAATAGTACATTAAATTATTCTTCATAAATCATGGATGTATTATATGATTGTTTTTGTGAGGCAACTATCGGTGTATTATGATGAAAGAACATGAAACTCTTACATCAGGCCTTTTCTCAGGCTTTGACGCCTTCAATGAACAACAAATAACACTCCTCAGGAGGAATTTCTGCAAGAGCACACGAAAATAAGTTAATTAGGATAGAATATGTGACATGCGATATAGACGAGTGATTTTATTAGGGAGTCATAATAGGAACTTATGTTTCAATACAACATCATATTAAAAATGTTTTTAGGTCCTCACTTATTCTATAAAGCCTAATGTGAATTCGTATATCCATATTCTTGGAATGTACTTGAATTTCTAGTTATGATCAAATATTTACAAATTAACAAAGACCAAGAAACCTAGTTCTAGAATGCTCGACACCATATATAAACATTAAGAGCAAGAAACAACATTCATTAATAGAATGTGATCATGGTCAAAGTCGGATACACATGATTGCATTTATAATGATTAAAAATAAAATAATTTTAATCTATATATATAGTGAATAACATATTAACAAACCATTATGGTACACATTGTTGATCCAAGTGATAATAAAAAGGGAGAAGAGAAACCCTCAGAAAGAGATGTTAGGGAATGCAGCACAAACCTGAAAGTAAGAAAAAGATCAGCAAAACCTGTTAACTGCTCTCTCAGAATCAACATGAGAACTAATAATAATGTTTCCCTTGTATGATCATTGAAGATACATATCTCCTTCTTTTGAATTTTGCAACATCCAAAAAACAAAATGGAAAAGAAAGAAAGAAGAAAAAGAGACAGAGAGCAATGTACAAAAATAGAAAATAAAAATGATATGAAATCAGTGTGTTTTTTAGCAGACACTGCTTCAAATGAAAGAAAGATGGAGAGAGAGAGAAAGGAAATGGTCGTTGCCAATAAGACGGATGGATAGGCGTCTTATTCTCTATGAAATAGTGGATTAGTTAACTCTCTCTTATCTTCTCTCTCTCTGCCCATTTTTTCAGCCCTCAATATGACATCAAATCAAGTGCTGCAGTCACAACCAATGCTTAATAATTCCACGTAACATGATTTTCTTAGAGAATTACAATGGCATGCTATGTACCTTTATATATATTTATGATATTGTTATAAATTATGCATTCTTAACAATGGTTACCAGCTCCGGGATTTTAAAGTTGGTATCTTTCTTTAATATTTTTTTATCTTTAGAGAGACATATAGGAAGACAAAAGAATATGAGAAAATGTGTAGGTGCAAATCTATTTATACGCATAAAAGTATAGTGTCTATTCAACGAAGAAAGCAATATATATATAAGCGGGTAAAAATTAAAATTGGTATAAAGAAAACTAATTACCAGAAAAATATAAAAACAAAAATAGGTCATTCAACCAAACCTCCATATTCAAGCAACTAGCAAAGTTAGCTAAGTTGTCAGCAACGGTACGAGAAAAGAAAACAATCTCCAGCACTTGCAAGGCTCGAGCCGTTCAACCTTAGATTGTTACATTTTTTTAAAGATGTCATTCAACTCTTGTTAGGGTCTTCTTAATTGTTGCCATGTGGTACTGACATGCAACTTCTTTTTGCATAATTTTTCTATTGTAAAAGTTGATATATGATGAAAATAGTGATATCAAAGCTCAAGTTCAAAGGGTTCTAAGGAGACGAGATGGAGACCAATATTTTCCATGACAGGAAATGTTTAAAACTCATAGTAGACAATTTTACATACCAGAGACCGATAATGAAAGACCATCCGTTCTAGAAAGACTTATAAGAGCTCATCCTAAGTGTTGAGAGGCCTGAAAGAAAGAATGAAAGATCCTAAATAGAAAGATCAATACCATTATAAGAAAATATATAGACAAGAGTTTGTTCGAGCATGTATCCCAGTTCACCAATGTTCATGAGTTGTGGACAAAGTTGAAGTCTATGATTCTAAAGAAGACTCCAAAGAACAAGGCACATCTGGTGTGTAGCCTTGTGAAACCTGAATACAAGGACAACATGAGTATGATTAGGCACCTCAATGCATATAAAGGTGTTGTAAATTAGTTGTCTAAGGCTGAGATAAAAATTGATGACGAGCTTCAAGCTCTACTACTCCTTAGATTGCTACTAGAGAGCTTGGATACTCTAGTAGAAACTTTGAGCAACTTGACTCTTTAAGGAAGATTGACAATGGGCTTTGCGACAAACAATGTCCTGAATAAAGAGTCCAGGAGAAGAGAACGACATGTATCCTGTAACGTTCGGCCACTTGCAAGCATCAACGACTATTTCCACACACTAACACGAGACTTTTCAGCGTGCTTTGTCCTCACTCGCACATTTTCCGGGAAAACTTCCCAGGAAAACTTCCCAGGAGGTCACCCATCCCTGAATTGCTCCAAGTCAAGCACGCTTAACTGTGGAGTTCTTCCGATCCGGGCTACCGAAAAGTAGATGCATCCTGTTAGTATAGGTAGTACCAATTAATTCTTATAAGCTATCCTCAGCTGTGCTGTCCTATACCAGCACAATCTCTGGAATCCCTCTCTTTCCGGTGTTATTCGATTCATTCATGTACTCCTCTCGCTGATAGTACGCTAGCTCTTCCACTAACCATACATTCAATTGTACATTAGCTCTTCCACTAACCATACAATTGTCAGCACTCGGGATATTACATGTCCACCAGCTTCCGCCTGGTTCGTCCTCGAACCATATCGTACTGGATGAGAGGCCCTGCTCTGATACCACTTGAAACGCCCGACCACTTGCAAGCATCAACGACTATCCCCACACACTAACACGAGACTTTTCAGCGTGCTTTATTCTCACTCGCACACTTCCTGGGAAAACTTCCCAAGAGGTCACCCATCCCTGAATTACTCTAAGTCAAGCACGCTTAACTGTGGAGTTCTTCCGATCCGGGCTACCGAAAAGTAGATGCATCTTGTTAGTATAGGTAGTACCAATTAATTCTTATAAGCTATCCTCAGTTGTGCTTTCCTATACCAGCACAATCTCTGGAATCCCTCTCTTTTCGGTGTTATTCGATTCATTCATGTACCCCTCTCGCTGATAGTACGCTAGCTCTTCCACTAACCATACATTCAATTGTACATTAGCTCTTCCACTAACCATACAATTGTCAGCACTCGGGATGTTACATATGTTTGAGGCAAACGTTGCTGAGAACAAATAAAGATTCGACTTTCGAGGGCCTAGTAAAAGTCGGGGTCATGGCAAGTCTAGAGGTCGATCAAGGCCAAAGTAGGAGCTGACATGCTTATATTGTGGGAAGCCAAGACATAAAAAATTTGATTGTCAATTCTAAAGAGAGATCAAAAGAATGACAATGTCAAGCCGGACCAGATAAAGCCAAAGAAGAAAGAAGGCAAAAACACCACTGCGGTGGTTGGAAATGTTGATGTTGAGATGGTCCTCCTACGTGAGGATAATTTTCTAAATGTTGCTTATGATGACTATGCCTAGATTGTAGATTCAGGTGCCTCCATCCACATCACTCCATACATGAGCTTCTTCTCTTCCCATAAGAGTAGTGAATATGTTGTTGTAAAGATAGGGAATCAAGTCACAAGTAAAATCGTTGAAGTTAGAGATGTAACTGACATAGATGTTAGATGTCAGCTTGTGTTGAAGGAGGTAAATCATGTGTCAGACATGCAGCTCAACCTAATCTAGGTACGAAAGTTGGACGAAGCGAGTTTGATAAATTATTTTAGTGTTTGAAGATGGAAATTGGCTAAGGATAGCATGATGGTTGCCCAAGACAAGAAATAAGGTTCCTTTTACGTGATGCAAGGGAGAACCAATGGTGGAAAGCCAACGTAGTTTGAGATGGACTTAGCATGGAGTTGTGACACAAACGTCTTAGCCACTTGAGTGAGAAATGTGCTCCACATCTTGAATAAGAAAGGATTGTTGCCTGGATTAAAGGGCCAAATGTTGAAGAGTTGCACTCATTTCCTGGTTGGAAAGCAGCATCGGGTTTCATTTGTGAGGTCAGACCAACCTACAAGGCGCAAGTATATTCTAGACCTCGTCCACTTTGACATTGTTCTATGTCAGAAAGATCACTCAGTTGGGCTCATTTTTTGGTTTCTTTCATTGATGACCACTTTCTAAAGGTGTAGGTTTATTTGACGAGCACCAAGGATCATGTTCTTCAAGCATTCAAGAAATTTCATGCCATGGTTGAAAGGGAATTCAACAAGAAGCTGAAAGTGGTTTGATCTAATAATGATGGTAAGTATTGCGGCCCATGTGATGCATAATACAAATTGGTAGGAAAAAGGCTAGAAAAAATGCCTAATGGCGTTGCTGAGAGAATGAACTAGACTATAGATAAAGGGTCCGAAGTATGTTTTCATATGCTGGACTAAAAGAATCATTTTTGATTGAGGTCGTTAGAACTACAGTTGACCTAATTAGAACTACAGTTGACCTAATTAATTTATCACCATCAAGGCCATTGGAAAGAGACATTCTTAAAGAAGTATAGTCAAGTCATAACGCCTCTTATGATCATATCAAAGTCATTGAATGTCGAGCTTTTATACATAACCCTATAGATGAAAGAGCTAAACTTGATGCAAAAATAAATGACTGCATATACCTCGGTTCACCAAGATGTGGATTTAGATACAGACTTTGAGACTCTATCAACCAAAAAGTGGTAAAAAGTGTTGAACCCTAAGGTTTGAAATGTAAAAGATGTTAATTTTTTTTATGATAACAAAGCACAATCAAGCTCAACACGCAAGTACAATGAGAAGGATAGTGCAAAAAG